TATAACTGATTTACTGGTAGTCACGAAAAACAATACTTAATTTGAAAAATAAAGTATAGTAGTCGATGTTATAGCAAAACATATGTTTGCTTCATTGACAATTCCACAAAAAACATATGATATGGCAAAAAAGGCCTGGCCTTCCTTGAAAATTCATATTTGCCTTGTGACCCAAAAGGCGCTCGTGGCAGTGTAGCCGAGTGGTTAGCGTGTCAACCTGCCGTCCTGCACTGTCGCAGTTCGAGTCCTGCTGAGGCTGTTGATAAGACCAATGCGAGGTCGAAACTGCAGTCCACTCTGGATGAGAACAATTTTTGGGAATGCAAAGCTATGTAAATATTCAATGGAAACGTCAGTCCAACTCGTATCATTTGTGGGATAATTCTACTTCTACCAGTCCTTCATCACCTTAAACGAAATTGGGTAAAAACATCTTATTACTGATTTACTGGTAGTCACGAAAAACAAAGCTTAATTCGAAAAATAAGAAAAACGTAGTTTGGAATCCGGCCACCTTTCTTGACTTCGTGTTTTTGGTGAATTTTCGTTAACCATCGTGTCCGTCACATGACGGACGAAAGCTCAGCAAGGATTCATCGGGCTCGCAGGACGGTTCGCCGAGGAACTATTCGCACAAATCTACAATCACAGCCTCTGGTTTAACCAACTCATGAATCCCTTCCGCTAGCCTCTTCAAACCAAATGAAAATTACTCCAACATCAACCTATTAAGGGCTTCTTTGAAACTTTCTTTTTTCTAAACACCTTCTTACTTCTTTTATTTAATTAGTTTTTAATTTATTAATGCCAAAATATGGTTGTTAGTTTGACAATCATTTATATCTCATTCTGGGGGCCCAACTGAATTGCCAATCTTTAAACGCTCTTCTGTGCTTGCTAACTTCCCAGCATCCTTTTCATTTCAGCCTCTGACGAACTCTCTTGACATATAAATATTGGATATCATGTATTTTGCAAATTTGTCCTAGCGCTCATTCTATGAGTTAAAATACGGCTAGCTTGGAAGATAAGGAATTTGTGCTCATCGTATTATGTCCAAAAATGCACAGAGTCAATCAACCACGTCAATGTTGCAGACACAGGGACTCGTTTGGAAGAGTGGCTTCCGAACCGTCAAGGCTTGTCTGTCACTGCATACAATCTGATTTGTTCTATAGCCTTAAATACGTTTTAGTGACTAAACGTATGTCACTAAGATATGGGCTCGACGACTTGAGATAGCGTAGAATTTCCCAATGGGAATAGAGGACGAAAATCGACAAGCCAAATATATTTTAGGTGTGTCTGGAAAAGTACCAAATGAGATCCCTGGAGAATTTAAGGCGGTAGAAAAAACGGCAGTTTCTATGCAATTCAGGGAGTTCTCTGCTGAAAATATCCCCGCGTCACTTGAATACCACCTGATTGGTTCAAAAAATAGGATCCATGCAGTGGCTAGCATTTGATTTGCTGGCATAAATCAACGAATGTTGAATGATGACATCATTCTCGAATGTTATAAATGTGCGTATGTATTGAGATAAATGAATAGATCTTCAGCTATGGTTGTGACACTTGCGAATTGACCAACCCCTTTTTTCAACTGGCCCAACACACTCAACCCTAAGAAAGCTTTTTTCCCTCCACCAGACAGGAATCGGTCAGTCTGACTCCCCCTTCGCTCACATTCGAGAGGGCTGGTCAACTGGAGCCAGAAAGCATCGAGGCTCTCAGGCAGAAGTTAATGGCCCAAAAGTTGCAGACTCGAGTCGCCATCGTCCAAATGCATCGACTGATGGTTCAGCTTCGTACCGAGTCATCGGCGAGGGCCAAAGGCCAGGTTGGCTGAAAATCTTTTTTTTTGCCTCAAACCACAATCTCCTCAACTCAACCTATTCACACATGCATACATGCAAAAGCGGAGACGTACACACACGTACACATTTTGTTGAATCAACTAAGGGGATTTGGAGTTGGTCTTTAATTTACAACTATCAAGAGTGTTTCATCGCAACCCTTCGTCACCTCAACAGCCCCGTTGGCTTCGTGCAGTAGGCCACGACATGCGACATGCACTCTTCCCTCCGATCACAGTTTGTTATAAAACAACTGAGGTAAAAGGAGGCCAGATGGGATGATGAGGACCTCGAGGTTCCGTACCATCTGCAAAAATGAATAGCACAATTGATGCAGACGACAATCAATCACAACTAAGGTGCAGACACGATGGCGCATTTCGAAGATTATTGCCCGAACTGGCAAGACTTGTCTGGGACCCAGCATCATTCGGTTTATCTATGCATCCATATTTGTTATATGACCACAAAGGCAAAGATTTTCTCTTGAGTTATTAGGTCTTACGGATCAGAACAAGAGATTTAATCTTTGACAAGTCTGATTTAGGAACCGTATTGCATATAGACGCTA